TCAACAATTGATATATACATGTTTTATCTAAGTAATACATTTGTCAATCCGATTAAAAAGTGCCAATAAAAAGAATAGCGCGGCGAGGTCTATCGTAGATTAAGAAAAGAGTCTTTGGTTCAACATAAAAGTCAAGGTTGCTAATACTTCTTCAGCGCCTAGATTACACAGCAAATCACCGATCGACGTTTCCTGTTCGATCGAAAATTCCATCATCGTCTAAATTCGCTTTCTTGCGCCGGTATTTCTCCATTCAGCAGCCGGCGAAATTCATCAGATCCTTCCTCGGTCTTGGAGGCGTCTTACTAATTGGAATATTTCATCTGTTTCCGGATCAAAAGACATATTTTTATATTTTACTGACATTGTCTTCGATGACAAAGGTATAAACCGAAACAACAATATCTCGTCACCTTTATGGGAGCATCTCTACAATATGCGCCTTTAGTTTTGTTGAAACAATTAAAAAGAATAAAATAAAAACACAACGAGATTAGATAAGAAATCAATTAAGATTGAGATACATTCAAATTATCGTATGAAAACACTCTTTAAATATCTACTATATTCCTTCTTTCTTTTCTCTTTTTATGAAGTAAAATATTGGAAAATGTTAATAACAAATTTTACCAGGGATCAATGATAAAATATATACGATAAGATTGAGATACATAGTATTCTTACATTGTCTATACGTCCGAGATACTTTATTGAAATAAAGTCGGTTTTGAGAAGATGTACTTTGCGATGGGGAATCTTCTGCAAAATCAACTTGGTCCCATGAGCCGTAAAAACGGATTGCGTTCACCAAGACCAGTTCGGCATTGAGATGAACGCTGCCTGTTGGCAGAATATTAGAAATAGTTTTTGTTATTTCCAGTATCCATTGATTGATATTGCGCTTCACGTTAGTGAAATTTCCAAAAAAATCGGTTGCCTGCCATTGATCGCAGAAAGTATTTGAGTTGAACGTACATTTGTTCAGTTTCTTGTAGTTTGCGATCCATAGTTTCTACTGTCAAATTTGATTGTACATGTTTCATTTAACTAGAAAGAAAAAAAATAAAAATTCTCAAATTTTTTTATTTCACAAGATTCGCTATTATTATTATTTTCTAGTAAATCATCCACGTGATAAAACAAAGAATTTTCTACGTATTACATTTAAATTACTCAATAATCTACGTATTACATTTACTCAATAATCTGTTGTACACAATGACCTGAAATATGAAATATAAAACTATGTTAACTTCTGTCATCTTTTGTTATATTTTTTAATTAAAAATTTCTAAATAACTATAAATCATTAAAGTTTATCTGTCACGATATACATTAAAAATTCTGCTGAATGAAAAGATATAATGTTACGAGAAGATTCATAATTCTGATCAAATACGTTGACGTAATGATAAGTGCTTTGACAAATTTTTTAACAACAATAATATTAATTATATTTGAATTACTTACGCTATGGATCATGTAATTGATTCTTTTCGCATAAATAGTTTTTTCCACATCAGCTTTGGACATATTAGCGGGAATATGAAGAATATGCTTGAGAATGTTTTCAATATTATCGCCTAAATATACTAGGCACAAGATCTGATATATGATATATGGACTGAAAAAGACAGTGCTTCTCTGCATTATTATTATCTTCTCCAGAATTTCGAACGCAAACTCAAACCGAGCGTCTGCCAACATCTATGAAAGATAATAAGAAAATATGTAAGGAAAAAAAGTGATGAAAATATAAAATTTCAAAAGAACATTAATTTTGTTATGCTTATTTATGTATTAATTAATTATCTATTTAGTAATTACTTAATTTAGTATATGATATTCAAAATCGTGTATGTTTTTGAAATATATTAAGAAACTTTTTTTTAATTTCCAGAAAAAAATTTCTATTTGACTTTTTATTTAGTATTAATTTGTATTAATGTATTTAATATTAATTTAATATTAATTTGTTACATGTTGTTTTTGTTTATTCATTTATACATATATAATACCGTCAAGGGTTACATTGTGTCGTATACATTTTTTTATTTTTTATTGCAAGAAACTTTACAAACCTTAAAAAAAGATTGGACTTAGAAAATTGAGAAATTTAAGTTTTTTCTTTTTATATAAATGTATATTTTTTTATATTTATTTATTACCAATATTTTTATATCAATTAAACGATTAATGTGTATCAAATCAAAATGTATAATATTTCATTATATCTAGACCTGATAGACTCTCACGCTAAGTGCGCACCAATATCTCACGAGAGCAAAACCGGCAGTATATCTTTTGATCCGTTTTTTATAGCTGAACTGACTAGCGTACACTTGTTGTACATGAAATAAAAGATATATATTTAAAGTTTAATAAAAACGAGATAGAAAGTTTTAGTGCAGACCAATGCAGGAACAACAAGTAAACCTTTTATATGAGTCAGCTAGTTGCGAGTATTTAAAATTATTAGATCTCAGATACGACTGAGCCGAAAGAATTTTTAATATGTTTAAGTGATAGGTTGTTGTCAATATATATATATATATATAACAAATCCATTTATTAGGATTAGCAATAATATAACATAACGTAATGAGCGTAATCTTTAGATTATTTAAATCAAACAACAAAAATAAATCATATATAAAAATTATTGATTTCTAAACATGGAAAAATATAATAATTTGTTTAAATTGTTAAAAATTGGAAACAAAATGATCTGTTGTCAATTATCTGGCTCATATTCAAATTGACTTTTACTAGAGATGATCTTTTCGAAATTTTTAATGTTAGAATTGAAATATAATAGAATAAAAAGTACATAGACAATCAATATAAACCAATAATATTATTTATGTTTGTTAATCTAAATTTGACGAGAATTCGGTAACCGATAACACAAAACTATAAAAGATACAAAACCAGTCCCAAGGATTAAAATAAACGCAAATTTGATTAGACATTTGTTGCTTATAAAATGTAATAATTGTACGCGATAATTATTTTGCTTTAAGATTTGGCACTTTTTTAATAAAATCAAATTCACGCAACAATTGTAAGAAATTGTTTTTTTTTCATAATAAATAATACTATTTGGATAAAATAAAATCGAAATAATCATTTGATGTGCATGAAACATATATTTTTAAAAATAAGACGTTATTTTTAATCTTTTTGTTTAACTCTTACGTATCTATCAATCTATATATATATAATATGACGCGCGCGCGCGCGCGCGTGTGTGTGTGTGTGTGTGTTGTGTAGTTATTTTTTATAGTTATTTTTGTAACTATGGATCGATGATGAGGACAAACAAAATATTTTTTTAAATAAATGTTTCAATGTTGAGACTTGGCATTATACTTCCTTAGAATACATAGAAGAAAAATAAAGATACTTTTTTATGTAATTAAAATCTAAGTATCAATTAAGTTTAATAAAAATTCAATTATGAGTTGAAATCCGATAATCTCAGATATTGCAATCGGCCAGCTTACGTATAAATTGCGTAACTTGGTGCAAAACATTGTCGTTTATCTCTTAAAACAAATTACTACACATTAATTACTACACATAATTACATATATCTAAAAATATTTTTATTTATTTTTCCTTATTACATAAATCTCTTCTTAATATTTTTACAATTTTTACTTTAGATACGTTGTAAAATTCTTTCTTCTAAAAGATTTCTATATATATATTTGGAGGAAGAAATATTTGTTATACAATTCTTTCAGTCAGTCAACGAGATCACTGATAGTCAAAATTTATTATCTATATAATTAAAAAATGCAATAAACGTGAATGACTCTGTATAGATTTTTATTTTGCGTCACATTCTCTTTATCTAACTTTAAAAATAAAATATTATAAAATATAAAACCTAAATACAAGAATAAATTAATGAGATTCGTGCAACAGATTCCTTTCAAAAAAATCGTCAGAAAATGCGAGATCCTTTTTGATCCTTTAAAGATTTTTTTCCCTAAAGGAATATCAACTTCACAATTTGAAGGATCATCTTTGATCATCAACAAAAATCGCTCGGTGTCACGAGTAAAACAGCCTAAAACATCATCAACTGACCAAGAAAAGAATGGAAAGACTCGAAAACTTGTCAATCCTGTCACATCATCAGCCTCTGTTGCCGACTAACTTTTCAAGAGCGAGTTTCTCCTCGACGATCCATCTAAACGGCGCCGCGGGTCAAGGATGTCGATTGGGATCCGTTGGGCGAGCGGAAAACACCAGTGAAAAGGATCGTGTGATCAGCTTTGTTGTAAATCAGGTAAACGAACGGATGATTGGCGTTGAAGACGGCAGGCTCGGTAGGTCGGCTGGAGCGGAAGGTGAAGATCGCGGTGGCCGCGGCTGCGGTGGTGCCTTCCTCCGTCACCTCGATGCGGGCTCGGTGCACGGCCTCACCGAGAGTCAGAGAAGCTTCGCCATCGGCGACGAAACCGCGTAGATCGGCGGCGAGTGACATCACATCGCCGGCGCCGAGGGCATGCAGCAGCTGGCCAATTGGTAATTCCCGTTCGAGTTCGAAACGCGGCAGGCTGATCTCAACTTCGCGCGTCAGTAACCCATCGTCTAATATTTCGCGAAGCTCCCGGGAACCCTCCTCGGTCGCCAGACGTTCCACCAGCTGGCGAATACCGTCCTGTGGCTCGTAAGAAGGATTCTGGAGAGATCGCGCGGTGGAGAACGGAGGGAGCAGCACGAACATCGAGATCTCTTTACCTTTGTAGGGTAATTCCAAGATATGCACACCTAATTCCTCAGAGATGGCTGAAAAGGAAACGAAATTGGAAAAAAAAGATTAGAAAAAAATATAGATAAATGAAAATTTTTTTCAAGTCTTAAGTCGTTGTGTACAGAATTTGTTGGATTCATATCAACGATTTTTAAACATCTACGTGATGTTTTTCATTTTTCTCAAAAATGGAAAGCTGTTTTTGTAATTGTTACTTTTCAATATTTCGCATTTTTATAAAAATATACAATATATTAAAATTTATTTAAATGACGTTTAACAAAAAATGTGTCGTTTATAATTAATTAAAAAAATTTAATAAATAAATAATATGAAATTTGGATCAGAAATGCTTACCATAATTAAAGTTCCCTTTCTGACGCATGAAAGTGGTGACGGAATTCTGCGAGCCGGAAGCGTAGAAAATGTCGCGTTTAGAATTCACGGGATCGAAACGATGGGCCCAGAGACCCTTGAAGTAAACCGCATTTGCCAGAACCAAATCGGTATCCTCGCCGATGCTATGCGGAGGCAAGAGATCGCGAATGTGGCCTTTCGTCACATTGCTAACCCAGTTGTTGATCTGATTCCTCACTTCTGTGGGATTTGCACGGAAATCAGTCACTTGTAATTGATCACCAAAGAAATCGAGCATACATTCGCGCAGTTTCTTGGCGTTCGTAATCCAAAATCTATTAGCGACTTTGTATTCGTAGGAGTCTGAGTTTTCACCCAACTGAAATAAAAAATACCAAGGATAAAAAAAATCGTTCTTTGTAAGCTTTCCGAGAAAAATCGTTCTTTGCAAGATTTCTGCGAAGTTGTCGAGACAATAAATTTTCATGAATTCTATTTAGGCGTTGCAAGTGTTATTATGCAACTATATTATTTTAATACTTAAATGTTAAATTAAATACTTAAATGTTAAATATATTGACTGAGCAATCTTTAAATTTCTAATATGCGTTTTTTAAAAGACTATTGTCACGATATTAAATTTTTTTAATCTTTTCTATTTTGTTTCATTTAAATTATATTTCATTATCAATTTCACAATCATTAATTTTCAATAAATCATTACCGTAACAAATATCTTTCGATATTACGGTGCATTTTTGCACGCAATATCGAATCTGACATATAAGCTTGAAATTTATTTTCCCTACCATCTTTTATGGATTTCTCCATGCGGAAATATTTAAATTACGTCATTCAAATTTGCTTGTACAATCGAGAATCAAGCATTTTGCTGAACAAGGTAATCTTAAAGTCGGCCAAGGGGATCCACGAACAGCCACCTTTAGGGCCTTGGGGACTCGAGCACGGTTTATCCCCGACGTTGGTGTAACGATAAATCGCGTGGTGATCGCCTTGACATATCTCCAATGACGACGAAGTAAATCGCTTAATTACGCAACCGTACCGGAATTGCTCACCTGGGAACGCATCTGACTGAACGATCTCTCGAAAGCATAATATCGTTGCACGTCGACTTTGGAGAGCTGATCGGGGATGTGGAGGGCCTGCTTGAGATTCGCCTCGGTGGTGGTGCGGGCGCCGAAATACGCCAAATTTAAAGCCTGATTTATACTGTGTGGGCTAAAGAAGATATTGTCCTTCGACTCGATCAACGCGGCCTTCTTCAGGCTGTCGAGCGCGAAGCTAAAACGGGCGTTCGTCAACAACGTCCTCGACGCCGGGTCCATCACTGAAGGGGCGTCATCTCCCGTCAGACATTGCGCCGAAATCATGCTGATCACCGACAGCAACGTCATTGCCTGCAAACAAAAGAAAAATAAGAAAGAAATAAGAGAAAAGAAAAATATTGGAAAAAAACAATAAGATGTATAATATTAAAAAATTAAGGGAGGAGAATGCGGCAAATGTGAACTCAATATGAATTAAATATATGCGGATTTTTATTTAAAATTTTGTTTAAATTTTTTTTGCGCCTGATTTATCGTGCCTGATTAATATTTGTGGCATTTTCCTCAATTAAATTTGAAATTGTTGTAATTTTGCAGTGTATAGAGCAAAAAAATGTTTTATTAATACTGTATATGAGGAATGGATTGTTATCGATGTTACGTAATGACATATCCTTCACGACAGCGACAAGACTATATTTTACGAAGCAGAACGCTCTAGGAAGTGCGTTGATTATACAATACGGAAAAAATGAAGCTAATTGAAATCTCTCCAACTATTTTCACTCCAAAGGGGGATATCCCTTGGAGACTTCCGCGTTATGACGTCCGCGACTAAAAGGAGATTCAATTTGTTACTCGGCGATGATTTATTGTTTTATACACGTGTCTCCGAACGTGCAAAAGATTAACGATGCCCCGCGTGAATGAAACGCACGCACTGGCATCATTCGGATATTCAATCGAGGAGAAAAAAAAAACTTTCTCGCGCGATGGAGAAAGCGGTGACGACGAAGAATCGCGCGTGTTGGACGCAGAAGACGTAAAGACGAAACGACGGAAGAAATCTGGGCCTCCGGCCCATATATTTTTTTTCAGGAGTTTCACAACGCGCGTGATACTCCCCGCGACAATATGGCTTGTAATTTATGCGAATTTCTAGACCGTGTCGCCCATCGCATGGTCGCCATGTCGAAGAAGCGATCGCGTCATCGCGGCCGGATTGTGATGCTTTTTAGCGGCGGCAAATTCCCCGAATAGAACCTGGTCGTTCAAAGATCAAGGATTCGTTCGACGATTTAAATAATTTTAGATTTTAATTTTCTGCTTATTTTTTCGCGAGACAGAATGGACAGAATCAAGAGTCATTCTCTTTATGATCCATCCGGAGTGATGTAACCCACACAACTTCTTCGCAACTTCCTTCCCTCGAGAAAGGGTGCGTTCCCTCGGTTCGTTACTTTCCTGCGCAATCCCGTCGAAATTGCGACCGAATCGGAAATCGGAGGCTAAGAACGAGTGAAAGCAGCCAGTATCGTGACATCATAGGGCATCCGGCTTTCATGACTGAAATCAACGTGTGACGAAAGCTCGCGCCTGACAAAAGCGGTATTTTCGATGACGGGTCACGACGAGACACACCTCTTCGGTAACGTGATCTGTGATATGAATTTTATTAAGAGGCAATTAATAGGCGACAGTGTATATAATGTCGTAATTTCTAATAGCATCGTGGCAACGAGAATGAGATTGCAATTCTTGATTTTTTTTTTAATAAAATTAAAATAAAAACCGGAATTAATAAGTTAGAATTAAAATCAGATTTTTATAAATCAAAATGAAGCGATTAAAATTGGATTAATTAAAACAATAAACATTCCGATGGAAAAAACCACAATTTACATTAAAATTAGATGATCCATGAATCGCATATATAACAATAACATTTACAAGTTATATGTGTTTTGGAAATCAAATTAAAATATTACAGTAAATCGGAAGAAAAGTTGATATTAAGTATGAAATATGTGAAAAATTCGATGAAATTAAAATTAAAATCCAAACGTGAATTAAAATTGGAAAATTTAATTTTGAATGTACCGTTCGTATTTCACGAGATTGAAATTACGATGACAATGAAAGATCACGTGAATTTTTTATTCGCAGTGCACGATGCACGTTATCATGTCGATCACGTATCATGTACAATTCACGACAAGCATACTCATAAATAGTACATCTCGATCTCTAGATCAAACTTCGTTTTTTTTTTTCCTTTTGTTTCTTTGCTCGCGAGAAACGACCAACGATCAAACAGCTCGAGGTAATTACGCGTGACGTAAGAATTTATGAATGATCAGAGAAGCGGTGCGAACGCGACACGGAAATTCCATGAATCGTGAGAATCGTAAGAATCAACAATCTTGTTGACATGTATAAACATTCCAAACGTAGAGATCTAAAATAACTGTAAACGCATTCGTCCAATTAACTTATTAAAGGCTGTTAAAGACCATCAAACTATAATGAGGAGACCTTTAGGAAACCTTTAGAATTAAATGATAATTAAGTATTTTTCTCCTAAAAGTCTCGCGGAATTTTAAATCTAAAACCGTTAGGCATTAGTGAGTTTTAATTTTAAGGAATAACAATCGTTTAAAATTATTTAATTTTAAGGAATAACAATCGTTTAAAATTATCTAAGAAGGCAAAGAAATAAAACATCGTGTAATATTTGTTTTTCACCTAGAAAAAAAAACATAAAAGTTACGATTATGCAAGAGTATGTATTTATAGAACAAAATCAAATCGCGATATAAGTAATCTTCTTAAAAACGTTAAAAATTTCTGGAAATCGCATAAAAATTACAACGAAGATCGAGTAGTAAAGTTACTAAAATATGTCCTGAAACAAAAAGGATATGTCTTAGAATGTTATGTTAAAAGCTTTATTATCTTAGTGAATAGTATTCTTTCTTAAAACATATAAGATATAAGATATATGTCAATATAAGATGGACAAATTTAGCGCTTGTGAAAACACAAAACAAGATTCCGCGTGATGACATCATACTGTTTTTATAAAATTGTTCTATCGCGTCAAATGTCAAATATATGTATGCATGTATTTCTACGTACGTGACGTATATGTTCGTAGATATCAAAAGATTATAGCATTATTATATAAATTTCTAACATTTTATATAAAACGATATAAAAAAAATAGATGTTTTGACATTGATTCCATAGTTTTAGATACAAGAATGTTTCTTTTATCGGATATCTTAAAATTATCATCACGAATGTGCTTCCAAATGTGTTTACAAAACTTTTGAGCAAGGCAAGCACTTTTAATTAAATTCATTTTGTGCTGTGAATTATCATGGATTATTATGCTTACACTATAATCGCGTTAGAAATTTTAGGTTATTAATTAAGAAGATAGGAAATGTGAGATTTTCAATTATCTAATATTTCTTTGGGAAATTTAAAATTAAAAATATGTTTAAAGACTCGGGGATGATAATTTTTTTCTTATATCAAACTCGCTCGAAATCAATTTCAGAAAGTAATTCTCAAAGAGGGAAAAACGTTCTTAGTCTTTCGATAAGACTTATCGCGGTTGAACTTCCGAGCAGACCGGCAGTCAAGGGTCATTTCAGAAGTATAACGGGAGGGAGTGCAATGTACGATCTGCGAGAACTGCAGGTCTCAATCCTAATAATTAAGCTGAATAATAATATCTGGGAAGTACGAGGAAAATCGTTTCCTCGTCTTCCGTGCGAAAATATCATAAAGGATTGTACAAAGCAAAATAGATGCAAAACAAAATAGGTAGAATCAAACGAAGAAAAAATCGAATGACTATTGGCACTCACCGTGAGGAACGACATTATTCGGCACTCTCTCTCTTTCTAGCAAAACGAGCTCGAAGTCGACAGAGCAATTAGAGCCACCGGTACTTGGACGTCCGAACGATGATCGAAATGACGCAGGACTGAAACGGACGCGAAGAGACGCTGAAGGAGAATGCCTTTGGCTGGCCCCACTCTTTCCCACTTCTGGTTCGTCACGTTTGCGTGGAAACGTCATGACATACGCGATGAGTGGGATTTAGGATCGGATTACGCGAAGAAAAACTTCGAGAAAACTTCGGTAAAACTGTTTAAATAAATTTTACAGAAAATTTCCGAAAATTTTGGGGATAATTAAATTCAAAATTGTAACACATATAAATTAAGAAAAGCATTTTATACATCTTTATGTAGTGTATATTAAATTCTTTTTTTATTATTTTAATTTCAACGATCAGAAATGAATATGTCTATATGTAATATGTATGTAGGAAGAATAAGAGAGAGAGAGAGAGAGAGAGAGAGAGAGAGAGAGA